CTCCCCCACCCCAGGTCTCTGACGGACAAAGCGATGCGTGCGCACCGTGGTGCGGTGTTCCAGGACGTGCTGAAGGAGAACCCGCTGCTGTGTGAGATGGTGGACACCAAGACTCAGTACGTGGAGGTCAGTGGCCACTCCAAGCTCAGGTCTGGATCCACCGGCCTCTAGTCGGGGTGTGTGTGGGAGGGCCTCTGACGTCCTGCCACATGCACGCTGCTGACGTCACGCCACATGCACCCTTTCTAACATCACACCACAGACTATGGCGTCACGCCCCATACATCCTGCTGACGTCACGCCATGGACTCCCTTATGACGTCACACCATGGACACCCTGCTGACGTCACGCCACAGACACCCTGCTGACGTCCCACCACGGACACCCTGCTGACGTCCCGCCACGGACACCCTGCGACGTCACGCCATGCACATTCTGCTGACGTCAAGCCCTGGACGCCCTTTCTAACATCACACCACGGACTATGGCGTCACGCCACGGACTATGGTGTCACGCCACATACATCCTTATGGCGTTACACCCCGGACTATGGCGTCACGCCACGGACTATGGCGTCACGCCACATACATCCTTATGGCGTCACGCCACGGACACCTGGCTGAAGTGTGTGTGTATGGAGCGAAAGGAAGGGCAGATGATGATGATCATGATGATGATGATGAAGACGAAGAAAAGGAAGGAGGAGGAGGAAAATGTGCAGAAAAAACTGTTGACGTCCATAGTGAAAAAGGAGAAGGACCTGGAAAGGAAGACCAGTATTTCCCAGGCCACAGTTTCTTCCAAATACTTATGTCTTTGTAAAAAGACAACGCAGACCATCTCCTCTCCTACTACCTTCAACAACGAACTAAATGTTTCTTTTTTCTCATCTTGTAGGAATATCACACCTACATGACCACAACTGAGCCGATAGTGCCATAAAACACATACTCAATCAACTTGTTCATAGGAATATCACATGACCCCCTGACTGATACTGACTTCAGTCCTAACTTCTTTGTTGTGTCCCCTGAAACATACGGACTGGAAGAAAAGTGTGCTGTCATGGGAAAGAGTCACCTAAAACTAGTGTGCTACCGATCTACTGACCGGAACTTACTCTGACCGTGTGCTACCATTCTACTGACCGAAACTTACTCTGGCAGTGTGCTACCATTCTACAGACCGGAACTTACTCTGGCAGTGTGCTACCATTCTACAGACCAGAACTTACTCTGGCAGTGTGCTACTACTGTACAGACCGGAACTTATTCTGGCAGTGTGCTACCACTCTACACACCGGAACTTACTCAGGCAGTGTGCTACCACTCTAGCACTATACAGATGGGAACTTACTCAAACTAAGCCCCGACTCAACATTTCTCTGTGGCTCAGTGGGCTGAGAAGTGTTTGAACCTCTTCCCTGGCACATGGATGGATGTAGGCGCCGGTTTGTCATCGCGTCCACAAAACCCGTTTCCTGCCATTCTTTCTTTTCGGTCTGAAGGGTTCGTTTTAGGAGATAATATTTTGATGACGTTGTGATAATGTGTATTCTCAGATCAGGGGAAAGGTACAATGGATTTGTGTTGATTTCTCTTGACCGGACATTCAACGAAAATTCTACGTGCTCAGGGCAAACGTAGACAGAGACATCTCAGAGATGAAAGGGTCACTCAGT